CCTTGAAGAGGCCCCAGTGGTGGATGACTCCGGGCATGTCGTGTAGGAGCGATAGTAGGGAGTACTCCGTGTGTAATAACATCTTTCCCTGTCTGTCGTCCTGCGACTCGCCGTACGAGTCCTCCAGAGTTAGGATCTTCACGGCGAAGAAGCGGTCCGTCTGGGGATCGGCTATACGTCGGGCCAGGCATTGGACGATAGAGCGCACCGGACTGTTGCCTAAACGCATACCTGTGCGCCCATGGGTACAGACAATACATATGATTAGTACTATGATTATCATCGCGCGTGAAGTGGTGGTAAGCCATGGGTGAGTGAATCTGATCCGTGTGCTAATGGCTAATCACCAGCGCCTACATACCCAACACGTATTGGCCGACCCGTCGCAGACCCCGATCGTTGACGGCTGTAGTGGTGGCCGTCATGGCCTCAAACGACCTCTTCATGAGGCGATGATAATCGGGTTACCACTCGAAGAAGTCTGTGTTTGCATTGAATCCATAATTAGCTGCACTTTAATAGGCAAACAAAACACTGATTAATGATATTTCACAACATATTGTCAACAAAAACACTGTTAACCCGTATTCGCGTATAACGTTACCCATAAAAATGGGTGTAAACGTGAAATACAGTGTTTTTAAATGATATTTGTATGAGTAGTGTGTGGATATGTGGGCACAAAGTAAGGGTAATTTGTAACAGTGTTTGTGAGCGACTCCGGTGGCAAAACTTGTTTTGTTTTTCAGTACAGTCTCTGAGAGTTATACTAACATAGGATTTGAAGGGAAACTCAAATCCCATTCAACACCACAAACTGTTTCATAAAACTTCATACAATGTCTCAAGACTTCAAAACTAGTTTTGCAAATTTGAAAACAAAAATAAAACCAAAACTCAATTTTCATATCCATGTCAGCGAGACGTGTCCACACGAAACAAAAGTGTTTCAAAGTTCACGAGAGATCATAAAAGTCTTCGCAAAAAAGTCTTCAAGTGTTTCACTATATTTGGCACAAAATCGATGCGAAAAAAAACTTTTTTATAGTTTTTGGGTTCATTTGAGTGCAACACTTGCCATAGGATTGACACAAACTTTGCTATCCCTTCCTCTTCAGCCACACACCACTCACGCACACCACCGGACGATATCATGTCATCGACGACCACCACCACCGCATACACGGACCTAATCTCGAGGACCCGGCGCTCGTTCGCCACCGGACGGACTAAAGACATAACTTTCCGCAAAAACCAATTGACGGCTTTGTATCGCTTTCTGGTGGACAACGAGTCGCTCATAGTGTCGGCGCTCAACGAAGACATCCGGAAGCCGTCATTCGAGACACGAATGGCTGAAATAGACTTCTGCCTGAACGACATCAGGGGTCAGTTGTTTAACATCGATGAGTACGCCGCCCGTAAGGCCGTGCCCAAGACGTTGGTGACCATCGCCGACCAGCCGTTCATACAGTCGGAGCCCTACGGGCTGGTGTTGATCATCGGCGCCTGGAACTACCCGATTCAGGTGACCCTGAGTCCGCTCATCGGTGCCATCGCTGCCGGTAATGATAATCATCACCAAAATTAATCCCAAAAAAAGTCTGATCCCTTTCCTATCGTTCCCAACTCATAGGAAACGCTGCGATTGTGAAGCCCTCGGAGTTGTCGCCAAAGACGGCCGAACTCTTCCGCCAACTGATCCCCAAATATCTCGATAACCAGTGCTATCATATCGTCTTAGGCGATGCCGAGGACACGAAACAATTGTTGACCGAAAAGTTTGATTACATATTCTTCACGGGAAGCAATCGCGTCGGCCGTTGCGTCCACCAGTCGGCCGCCCGCCAGTTGACGCCCGCGACCCTCGAGTTGGGCGGTAAGAGTCCCCTCTATATCGACGACTCGCTGCCGGACATGGAGATGGGTTGGCGCCGGGTATTGTGGGCTAAGATGATAAACGCCGGCCAGACGTGTGTGGCGCCCGACTACGTCCTGTGCACCGCCGGCGCCCGCAAAAGTCTCGCCCACTTCGCCGCCAAAGTGTTGGCACAGTTTTTCGGCGATAACCCGAAAGCGAGTCCCGATTTCGGCCGCATTGTCAGCGACAGACACTTCGAGAGGTTAGCAAAGTTTTTGACGTCCGGCAAAATACTCGTCGGCGGCGACACAGACATCGCCGACCGATACATAGCGCCCACCATCTTGACGGACGTCTCGCCCGACGACGCCGTCATGCAGGAGGAGATCTTCGGACCCATACTGCCGGTGCTGGTGGTGCGCGACGTGGACGCCGCCATCGACTTCATCAACGCGCGCGAAAAGCCGCTCACTTTATACGTCTTCTCGACCGCCGATGGTGTCGTCGATAAGATACTGAACAACACGTCCAGCGGATCCGTTTGCGTCAACGACGCGATGATACACTTGACGGTCGACGCCCTGCCCTTCGGAGGTGTGGGCAACAGCGGTATCGGCGCCTATCACGGGAAGTACTCCTTCGAGACTTTCTCGCATCAAAAATCTGGTATTTATTTGCGGTTTAAATGAGTTTTTTTAGATTTAATTGTCTTATGATCTCTTTAGTGCTGATCCGTGGCTATAATCCGGTGCTCGAGTGGGTGGGCTCTAAACGCTACCCCCCTTACAGTGATAATCGTTTGAAACGTTTGCTGCGATTATTGCGTAAACGAAAGTCTTATGTCCCAAAGAATACCATCTATTACTTGATATTCATATTTGGATTCATCTCGTGTTTCATCTACAAAGCGATTGAAGACTATTTGCTGTAATCAAAAACGATTGTCTCATTTTGTACTTAGTTTTTCACAAATTGTTTTTTATAATTTAGACTAAACTCTAAACTCTTAGAGTCTCTTAAATGCATTTAAATATAAATTCAAGTTTGATATAAATTTTTGCTAATTTTGTTTGTATTAAAAAAATAGATTTTATTAAATAAATAGATTCGTTAAATAGTAGTAATAGTTATGTAAATTTAGGCATAGATTTCAACGTTATTAAAGGATTTATGAAAAAAAACAAAAGTTATTGAAATGAAGTCATAAAACATGGGATTAATTTTGTCAGCCAATTAGGAGGTGCTGAAGAGCTCCGGGAGCTTAAGAGGAGGGCACGAAGTGTTTGCGGGCCACGCAGTGAGCCATGAGATGGTTGCGACAGTTGGACCGGAATCTGAAGGGTTTGTCGCACACCAGACACACGAACGGCCTGTCCTTTCCGAGATGGGCCTCAATGTGGTGACGGAAAGCCGTCTCGTCGGCCGTCTCTTGCATACCATCGCACAGACGGCACGAGTAGATCTTCTCGACGTGATAGTCGGCGCCGCTCTTAGCCTTCTTCTCGTCGGGATTGCCGGCAATACTGTCGTCGGATTTGCGGCGACTTTGAGCCGAGTTTGCCTTCACACGACTGGCCGATGGGTTGCCGTATGAGTTGTCCATCGCTTGCATCGGCGGCGGCTTATAGTGAGCGCCACCAGCGCCGGCTGCGTAGCTGTAATTACCGGTGATATACGGGCAACAGGTCTGGTGCTGGAAGTAAGGGCACCACCAGTAGTGGCTCAACACCTGGTGCTGATTTTCGTCGCCGCCGACGGCTACCACTCGCTCTTCGGGTACTTCTGGTGAGGAAATGAAGAGATTTTTGTTAGAAATGACAGCAAAATGGTTAGCAAATGGCTAACAAACCGTCGTCCGTGTGGTTCAATGGGACACAGGGTCTCAAGTCGTGAAACACATGCTCCGAAGAGGTGTTGGAGGTGTCCAGCGATTTGTCGTCCATTTTTGTCTTCACTTTTCAAAAGTTGTGCGAAAATTATCGTATGTTTTGCTGAAATGAAAACTCAATTTGTTTTTCAAATATGTGATGAATATTAGAATTACTGTATATTCACGAGACTATTGACTCAATACATAGAGAATCTGAAATTCACGACAAACTTCACGAGACTTTTGCCTAAAACTTGTGCCAAATTTAATCCACAAGTTTTTAGACGTTATATAAAGTTTTTTATAACTGTTTGTAAATTACAGTTACAAAAGTGTTTTGAATGAATACTTTAATGTTATATTGAATAGTTTTCTAAACAAATACAATCCATTTCCCTAAATAATTATGATGTCTCTCACAACTTGTATCTTAATTCTCAACGTATTTTTAATGGCCAGCCCTGCGGACAACCCGGACCTATGCGCCGAGACGTACGTCGACGCCATCTTTCATATGAACGATGGCATCAAAATCAGAAGACGTGATACTCTGTGGACCTATTCCTCGGACTACACGCTACTGAACGTCACGGATCAGACAGCGTGGATGAAAGGCCTCCTAAACAACACTAACATAGGTTTTAATCATAACTTTATTGAACTCTAATCTCAATGACCCATACATTCGCACCAGAGTCTCATCTGATGGCCGGCCTATTTATCCCTAACATCCGGGAGACTGACTGCACCGGGAATGAGGAGATCATGTCTGTAGTGAAAAACGATGCCCTGATTACCGGAGACATTATCAACTGCACGACCAGCCGGTTATGGCACTCGGATCTGGCGCTCTATATATACAGAGACGAGATCAGCGGCGATGACCGGTATATCTACAAGAAACTCGTCCAACACCTCGGAGTGGGTTATTATCACGACGTGGTGGCCAACGTGAACTTCCGCAACATATCGGGCACCGGGAGTATAAGCCAACGATTCATACCGCGCGAGTCGGGCCGCTTGCAGAGGAGTATGGCTTTGATATACGAACCGAAAAACTTTCAGATAATTATGATACTGAATAAGTCGCCTACCGGTGACAAGTATGGCACAGCCCTGTTCAACACGACCCTACACCTGGCTAATTGGGTCCAGTATTGGAAACAGAGCGCCGTTTCCGATAAGTATAAATACAACGGCTTTTTGAGACAGAAGGACAGCGTTTACGTCGTCGGAGAGGCGGACTATCTCGAAGAGCCCGACCAGAACCTGGAGCACCGGCACGACCACGTCCAGGGTTATGCCCCCGCGGGCCCAGTATGTTGTTTCGGTTGGACATGACTACGAGATCACTGATACTAGAGGTATAGTGTATAATCAGTTTTATGAGTTCAAACTTTTTTAGGCTTTCCTTACCATTTAAATGGGGTTTAGGGCACAGAACTACTGACTATATTCGGGTGCCGGCCCTCCACGAGCAACGACTGGATTATTAGGGTATTTATTATCGGTATCGCACTTATTGTGGTCATAGTTGTGGTACTATTGGCAGCACTTTATGTTTATAGACATTATTATACAGGTATTCCTCGCTTTACTAGTTATTAGTTAATTAGAAATTTTAATTTAATTATTGTATTATTGTAGGGAACGTTACCCATGTCATTGCTCAGCCTCCTAATACCGATCCGGCGCCTGTACCTCAGCCGTCAAATACTGGTCAGAAATCAAATATAAGTCAGCAATCGATTGCTACCGGTATACCATCAAATACTGGTCAACCCTCGACTACCAGTCAACCATCAAATGTGGACCAGAAATCAAATGCGGGTCAGCCGTCAAATGCGGGCCAGACATCAAACACCGGTTCCGTTAATAGTAACAGCGGTTTAAGCCGAAAAAGTGGCCCTACATTGAGAGGTTAACCATAAAATAAACTAAATTATTAATAACTATACAATAAAATTGATATATATTTTGCAAACAACTACTAAGACTATCAGTATATTGTGTATACAATAAATGGTTTATGGATTTTGTGTGAATTAATTTCTTTTAACTATTAATATTACATAAAACATATGATTATTACGTTAATGTCTATAATTATTAATTAAATGCAACTAATCTACTAAACCTAGTTATCTAGTAAATACTATTAATTAAAACATAAGTTATAAATTATAATTTCTATGATAGCAATTCTAACCCACATAACTTTTTATAACTTATCAATAATCTTCAATACATTCACTAAATAATCCAAAAAAAAATTATTTCTCAATAAAGTGTTACATTCAGTAATTATGATAACTAACAAATTGTTAGCCCGCTATTTTACACTAAATTAAAAAACATTTATAACATTTAAATAAACCAATAAACAAGTCATTATTCACAGACATTCACACGAAATACAAATGAGTTTTATAGCCAAAAGACAATACTCTGCGATCGCATCTCAAATGAGAAAATCAAACACTTATCCATTGAACAGAAGTCGCGGAATATTATATTCACCGGAAAAACACTTTCTTAGACCCAAATCGGCGCCAAATCTGACAGACATTCGCGCCGGTAGTCGCACCTACTTCTCGGCCACATTTAACGTCCTACTGTTCAGCCAAATCGGACCCTTTGCCGCCACCATAATGGGTGTAATACTACAGAAATCACTCGCGAGAACGGGTTCGCTGAAGAGCACCACCATCTCGGCGCTCATATCGCGAAACGGGTACAAAATGGCCGCAACTGTTGCCTCTATGGCCGGCCTATCATACCTATACTACGAGCAAAACAAAACCCATACGCCCATCACTAAACGACCCCGGATTATGATCTTCAATAAGGAAAGCTACGAGGAGATCAGTCACGTGTTGTTCAAAGTCCTCCACAACGGATACAAAGACAAACTCCTCGGCGTTCACCACAAGACCACCAAAAAGGTGAACAAAATCGTCGGTCGACTCCTCGAGTCAAACAAGGAGTTCGACGAAATCAAGTCAAAGGACTGGAAGGTGTTTGTCATCGACGACAACGCCATCGCCAACGCCTTTGTCTTACCCACGGGTCAGATCTTTGTCTATACGGGTCTTATACGACAGTGCGATAACGAGGACCAATTGGCCACCATCTTAGCCCACGAGCTCTCGCACACGCTTATGGGCCACGGAAACGAAGTGGTTGTCCACCACCTCCTTATACCCCTTACCTATACATTCACTCATAGATTGTATCTTTTATTTCCACTCAAACCCGTAGTTAAGTCAAGAAGTTTTGGGAGATTTCATACTCACGGCTATTGTCTTCTTGTTATGGTTTCGGTTGCCTATGAGACAGGCGCTGGTGGGGACAGTCGTCACGAGTTTGCTACTGAAAGCGCTGTTAGTATTGCCGAAGAGACGGCTAATTGAAACGGAGGCCGACTTCATAGGACTCATACTGTCGGCGAAGACGTGCTATGATGTGCGCGAAGGCAGCGCTTTCTGGATGAAAATGGCGACTATGGAGACGTCGAGGAAGTGGTACCACATGTCCACACATCCGTCCAATACCACGAGATACGAGTCGATGGACGCCTACATGGAGGCGATGATCAACATAATGAAAGTCTTCAACTGCGATGAGTTAGCGGACAGGGATCCCAGGCATCGGTTCAGACGCAAACTCGCCAACGATGACAGGACTGTCTTCAAAAAGAGGGAGTGAATAGAGTTTTAAAGTTATGTTTTCCCGGTGTTTATGACTTCACATCAAATGATTTATTAATAAAAACGCGTAAAAAAAGTTTGTGATTTTGATTAGCATTTTATTTTGAGACTTAAAACATACGGAAAATGTTGAGAAAAAAGTTTTTATTACATAACAACATATACTGTAAGCAATTCTTTACATATGAAACACAAATAAAAAAACTTATTTTTGAGACAAAAGCCTAACGAATGGATTTGTTTTTGTCGGCAATTTTAATTAAACTGATTTCGTGTCTAATCCACGGGTGATCACAAACTTCTTTGATTTTGATTCTGTCCTCAGCTTTAAATACAAACATCCTGTTGATTAAGTCCACCAACTCTTGGGACGCCTTATAATACCTACAAACTGGTCGTCCATTCGACACGAATTTGCGCTGACTTTCCATTATATCCTTTATGGGAGTCCTGTCGTCACCGAAAGGATAGGACCTATTGATCATCAGATATAAGATGATACCCAACGCCCAGATGTCTGCAGGAAAGGGATTATACGACAAGTCCTTATTGATGGCTTTGATGGCCAGTATTTCGGGCGCCATATAAGGAATGGTTCCCAAGAACCTCTTCGACATAATGACCCCACCTTTCGTCGCGCGGAACATCACTTGACTCATCCCGAAGTCGGACACCAAGACATCCATATTCTGGTCCAACAGAATATTACCCATTTTGAGGTCCCGGTGCGCGAAGCCCTTGTCGTGCATATAGTCGACGGCAGACACCGTTTGGGCGAACATTCGTCGGGCGCTCGACTCATCCAAACCTTGGCTCTGATTTCTTATGTGTTTGGAAAGGGATTTGTTTTCGGCTAATCTCATGATAATGTATACGCCGATGGAGTTATCCTTCGAGTACTTCACCATAAAGTGGTCGAAGACTTGAATGATATTCGGATTCGAGATCTTCTCCATAATAAACAACTCGTTTTTGGCCTCTATTTTCAAATCAAACATTTTGGGGCCCTTTAGGAGCATCTCTTTGATGGCCACCGATCTCCCGGTTTCCCTATTATAGCCTTTATATACAAAACACGAGTTTCCTTCCCCGAGCTTTTCAAATGTCTTCGCATATCCGCGCCTTTCGAGGATATCATCGATGGTTTTGAATCGCTTGTCCGGCCAGTCGTATACGTCTGTCAAATCAGTGGTCACCACATGCGAAGGACTGGAGGCCTGAAGTGCTACCGGAGACACCGATTCATTGTCCGCTGAACTCCTTTCCCGAAACCTTTCGGACAATTTCATCGTTTTTAAGGAGACCTCCGGGCCATAGAAACAACAGCACAGGTATTGACACAAACAGCACATCAATGTCTGCGATATCTATTGTAAGACTTGAAGTGAAACTCAATGATAAAGTTTTGTAAATCAGTTGTGAATTGTTTTTAACCGTTATTTCAGGTTATAATTGATTTTAATTACAAAATGTTTGTCAAAAAAGGTTTATTATTTCATGCGATCGACAATTGAATGCGTTTTTATAATAAATTTCGGTCTAATTTTTATGTCTATTCCCGAACTCGCGCTACAATTAGCCCTTATTTTTCTACTCTTTGTAAATTGTTTTTATTATACAATAGTTTTAATAATTCAAATATCATTTTTCTGTCGCATTCATAAGTTTAAAATCTTAGATTTTAAACAATTTATTAATTTGATTCATACACAAAATATTCTTTAGTAATGTATCGGCTATTGAGACAAACCATTAGCAAAACACCGCTAATGACAGCCATTTGTGCGACAATTGGTGCGAATTATTGGCACAAAAAGCACACAAAACTCGGCAAACATTTGGTGATAAACATCGATACTCGCCGTGAGTTTGGGCTCCGAATGGTTCATATGAAAGACACCGACGAAGCCATCCGTCATGTCTACAAAAATGCCTTCAATAGTATCGTAGACATCAGTGCCTATGTGTTCACCAACACAACCGATGAAAACCTGGACAACTGTGGTATGGGAATGATCATCACCACTAACCCGGCATATATAGTCACCTGCGCTCACACTATAGAGGCAGACGTATCGACACCTGTAAAGGTTAACCGGTTCGCCGACTGGACGGGTGACCCGGAGCTACCATTTGCTGATTGGTTGCGTTACGAGGGATATGTCGCTTACATGGAGACCGAGATTGACTGCGCGCTCATACGACTGTTCAAAGACCTGCCGTTAAATACGAGGACCGTGTTCACGGATACCGGTGTGAAAGTAGGCCAACCCGTGGTGACTGTGGGCTGTCGAGGGATTGACTATTGTATATGCGATGGTGTGGTCCAGTGCCCGGACAGGGAGTACGGGTCCCTAAGTCGGGGCTATTACTCGTATTTTGCGAATACACACGACCCGAGTAATCGCTATATTTATAGTAACAGTCCCTCATATCAGGGCTTTTCCGGGAGTGCGGTGTTTGATAGGGACGGACAGGTGGTCGGGATGCTCGCGGGTGGAGATCCTATACTTTCTGGAGATTATTCCATTCCATACAACGATTTGATGAAAGGTTTGTAGTTCTCATGGATTATAACCAGCGATCGTACCATCAGTTCATATAATGAGATGTTTTAATCGTTTTTGAAGATTTCATTCAAAGAGGGATTGCTTTCGACGGACAACAGGACAGTGACGAAGACATTGTGGAGAGACACGAAGGGAAGGGATCACTCGGTATATGTGTCCATCGATTTAATAAGGAGGCCATTGTTGACCGATTTGGTGATACGGTATATGACTATCAATCTACTGGTGGAGTCATTGTATTGGATCAGGTAATGGGTAATCGTATTGGTGACGGGTATGTGTTTATGCCATAAATGAATACTTCTATAGGAATACAGAGAATATATTTACTAAATAACTAACTGTTAATTGTCTGTCATTTGTGACAATTATTTGCCAATCAATGCATTCGCTGTTAGCTACAATTTATTTGCCATTTCAGTAAAAACCAACTCATGAGCAATGATGTGATCACTGAAGTGAATGGACTTAAAGTCAATTCAGTGATAATGTTCCCACAATTGATGACTACCCCCGGAGATATTGTGCTAACTGTCCATCGATATAATGTTAGCGCTAATACTAATAAAGTTTTTGAGACTACATTTTCCCTTACAGTCAATCGTGAGCTCAAAAGCTGTTTCTTAATATGAATTATAATTACATTTCCAAACCAACCATATTCTCATTAATTATAATACAATCTATTTATAACTTATTTCTCTCTATTTATAGAATATTCTATGCCTTATGTATAAAATTAGTTTATTTTTAACTCAAAACTAAACCAAATATTTGTATAAATCTGTCATTTATTGATAACTGAAATAATAAAATGTATTGAAATGAAAGTGCAATCAAATGATGGCTTTTGTGATTGCATTGATATACTGAAGCGGAACCCAATAAAACCAAAGACTCTGATTGTGTTTCAATTGAATCCATAGAATAGCGTACTCTTCGTGTCCATCGATGGTCTGACTGTCGATGTGCTCAATGTCTGCCATCTTATGGTTGAAAGTCTTGTCACCGAAAGTGACGCTCAATTCGTCGCTTTCGAGTTTGAAGGCCAGGGAACAGCTCTTCCCGTACTTATCTACCAGTCCTTTGATGCCATCCGCGGGAAGGGATTCGTTGCCATTCTTATAGCCTATCATAACATCGGATGGCTTTCCCTTCTCGAGTATTTTCATGTGTTTGTGTTATTTACAGAAAGGGATTCCTGTCGGCGGTGTAGTCACCGATTGAATGCCGTTTTGATGGACGGGTGGCTTTAAGGCGGAGCTCACGTCCAGTAGTGTCGACCCAATCATCAGTATTTTGTCGTTGTTTTTGATACCACTCGCGGCTAATGTGTCATCATTTCTGGTGATAGCCTTTCCTCTGAGTATGAGTTTCTGCATATCGGGTGCGACTGATGTCAGGGACTGGAGCTCTTGCTTGAGATGAGACACCGTTTTGTCGGAATTGAGACTCATTTCAAAGACTTTCTTCTTGAATACGATTTTGAATTCCAGTACATCTGTGGTATGAAGTGTTTGGGCGCCTGTCGACGACATGTCTGTCCCCCGGAATTCACTCGTAATTTACAAACAAATTCTGTCTTTTATGTCAAATCAAAGATAACTCAAAACATAGGATGAAAAACAGAAAGACATCACAAAAAGTTATAAAACCCGTTAAACAGTTATTCAAATTACAAATGATTTACATTTAATTTACAACTAATTACAAATGATTGGATTAATAATTAATTGCGAGATAGTCACTGAATTTATTGTCAAAAAAGTTTTATTATATTTCATGTGATCGACAATTGAATGCATTATCGCTTCTGTGGTATAAAAGGCGATTAAAACGCAACGAAAACTCATATGAAATGCAACTCTCATTTCGTATTGATTTCTCTGACAGTCAAGTCATTGCAAACAAAATTATTAGTCGTTTGAAAAGTGATTGAAATTCTTCACAAATTGTTTGCAAAATTTGCTTCAATTATGAGAACTCGGAGTCAAACGGTTGAGACAAATGAATGGACGGAAACCGTACGGCGCAGGACAAGGGTAACGGCCCCTAACGGTAAGGTCACTGAACACGAGACCACTCGTACCAGACAGGGAACCGGCGGCCGAATGGATCGGTCTCGGAGTGGCCGGAGAGGCCGTTCGAGCGGTCGAAAGGGCCGAAGGGGTCGCTCCCGGTCTGGGGGTCGACGCCGAAGGCGTTCCCATTCGAGCGGAAGCCGAAGGAGTGGACGCCGAAGAAGGAGATCGAGGGGTTGATGAGTGAGGTGTCGTTCCCCTCGCGAAGACTCCAATCAAAGAATTTGTTCAAAATTATAGTTATATTTAGAAAAATCAATTGAAATAAAAACCGTTTGAAAAGCAAATCTTAATTTTGATTTAATGTTTGAATAAAAGTAAAAATCAGTTAAAATGAACATAATTTGAGTTATATAATAATGAAAAACTAATATACAAATGTAATAACTAAAAATAAATAATATAATGCTTTAACATTACATCGTATGGACTATATTGCAATCAAATCACGAGTAAACTATGTATTCAATTGAATACAAGTTTTGTTACAAAACATAAAATCTCAATTAATTTGACTGCAAAACGGTTTAATCGTATTCTCGATAACATTATATTCACTCATAGATTGCATTCAAAGTTCACAAATAGTTATAATTTGAGAGCAATTATGAGATCATATCCACTAATTGTTTTGGTTTTGTGGTGTTTGTCGGACAATGTTTTGACCACAAATGACACAAATATTAGTAACACTCGTGTGGATCAGATTAATAATATAAATGACACGACAATTGAACCAACCCTTCACTTGGATATCAATAACCCTCATATGGATGTGAACCACAAGAATAATACAAATGACACGACACCTGAACCCACCTTTCTATTGGACTTTATGTATAGGAATCGGAACGCCTTATATCCCGTCCTATTGACTGGCTTTGTGTTAATCCTGGCCTTAATTATGATAATTGTTTGGTATATCATATCTATCTATACATTGAAATCAATTATGATATTAAATGAACCTGTACAGAAAACTTTTTAAATCCTTTTAAACAGTTATATCTCAGAGTTGGTTGAGTCGGAGATTGAGAATCGTTTCTCGAAAGACATGGAAAAATGGGGTTTCATTTCGTTCACAAGTTTTCACAAATTGTTTATGAATTTCTATATATTTCTCAATTATAGTTCGGACACAAATCAGTGGTCGCACAGCGAAGGAAAGCCAAAAAGGTTGATATGAAACGGATTAAGAATATCACACAAAGTCATGTGTCGCCCAAACAAAATAAGCAAGCTAAGTGACGCACAAATCAAATTTATATTTACATAAATTTATTATTTAACAAATACACACAAATTCTTAAACATAAAATGTAATTTTTATATCCATATTTATTTAATTAAAAATCTTCACTTAAATACTTGATTTAGTTATAAATTCTGTATATTCTGTGTTTGAGTTCAACATTTAGCACAAACTCCTGTAGTTTTTGTTAAATCCGTATCTTTCACTTCATTCATATTATTTATATTACTTTCTATAGTATAGACATAGATATAAAATAAAATTTATTAGTTGACATTTGTGAAAATAAATTGTTCATATAATAATTATAAAATAATATGCTTTTTATTGTATAATCTGAATTACTTTTACAATGATTACATTAGCTAGGGTATTTGCCTTTCTAGTGATGACACAACTAGTTTCTAATGTATTAATATACTATTTGAGTTCTTTTCTAATGCTTTCAAAAATCAAATTATAGTTAAAAGAAGTTAAGAGTAACTGGAGTTAAGTGTTTAGTGATAACTTATCACTGATAAGTGATCGAGATCAAAAGTTTTTATTTTAAAAAATCAAAAGTCGGAATATGAGTACAATTCCGGTGCCCATAACTACTGGTCACTACACCTGTTACGACCAGACTATTAGTATCACATATGGTATCATTAATTATGACCACAAATCACTAAAAACTATACCCTAATTATACAGTTAATATCATATTATCTGAGTCATCTTTGTAATTAATTAGCAAAACTGTTCAGTGAACACTAATTTAATTGATTGATTAATTAATATTAAAGACACGTATATATTTATAAAATGCACTTTTAAAAAGTCAAAAGCTTATTTACCACTTGATCACATTCTGGGAATTGTCAAACTTTACAAAACTATTTTTGTAATCATGTAAATAAATCAATTACTTGTTGAATTTCATAGTAAAATACAGTTTTGTGACTCATATTCATACAGAATTATGAACATTATATAAATCATACAAACCGTGTATTATTCATGCGATTCCGTACCCCTATTCATACACCTGTCCATACAGTCGTATTTAGATCCCAATACTAAATACAGATAATATTATACTTTATTCTGGAAATATCTATTTTATGAAAAACATTACAATTTTATCATTAATTTTATCGCAAAAATATGTTTTCACTAAATACTGGTCTCTGCCTTAACGCTAACGTAAGCAATAGTGAGTAGAATAAAAAAAATAACAAACTGTGTCTGGTGTAATTATTATAAAAGCCGTCAACTACTACTAAAATAACTCAAAATCAAGTGGTTTACAGTCATAGCGACTATAATCATATAATAAACTATTAATACAATTGCAAACCAATTGCCACATTCAAGCGACAGTCAGTTTAACCATAACTGCAATCATGAGAGCATTACTCGTAATACTATTATTCGGATTCTGGTATAAATCGCTTCAAAAAAAGTGTTTTAATGAATTGATTTTCAAAATTTATTTTCCAATCGCAGCCTAACCGAGGAGAAAGTGAAGACAGACATCGACTGTAAGTGTCGTTTGCGGCTAAACAGCCGCCAAACTCTGGAGAAAATCGATGTCCCGAAGGATGCCATCTCTGCCTCCAATCAATGCAATGGAAACGACTTCACTCTCTGTACTAAGGCTTGCAATGAAAAGGTTTGCCTCAAGAATTTGATCACAAAATACAGATTCTGTAACCAAAACCCCTCCAAAAAACTCGTTGCCATTAGATATCAAACGAGACAAACGGCTACGACTTGACTAAACCGAAAGCCGGCGCCGAGAGTACCGCGAGTTTAGGGCAATCCTATTGCGACCAAATCGGACACGACCTGAAAGACGCCCGCATTTACCTGTCGGTGACCCTCGAGTGCGACGTCGAGCGAGAGGTGACCCAAGAAGTGAACGGAACCGCTGTCAGTATGGGTTCGTCGGTATCCCAGTCGTCGATCTCCCGGTTCGTCGAAAGCGGTTTCAAACAGGCGTTCAGTTGTGTCAACAAAACATTTGCGATAAACGCCTGAAAGAAAATATGCTCTCCTTTTAGCCATACGTTTCACTATTTGCTCGATAATACATAAATCAGTAGATGTTTTGCGACAAAAATATTTTAGAAATACTTTTTTTGTTATTCTTACCGAAACCCCACATTTCAAATAAATATGACAATTAGTACCCAATAAAACAAACGCCTATCAAATACTGCATAAATTTACGGCATTTATATTTGGCTTATGTCTTGACTACGAGAGAAAGGAATTCCTATCTATTTCTCAATTTTAATTTGAAATACACGACAATTTGATGGCAAATAAGTTGTATTTAATTTTGGACTTTAATTTTTTATCATCCAATTTAGCGGTTTATAAATAGGGAGTAGATGTCAGATACTGGAGTAGACTTTTATCTGAAACTCTGTTTTTAACCACATAGCAAAGGCTTGAACTACTGGTGCTCTCAAACGTGTGTCTCATCTCACAAGCGATGATAGAGAAGACTATTTTAAAACTCAATTTCAGCTCTAATTATAAACCGAGACATTTATAAACCGCCAACTGATCCGTACTGTCGAAGTGTTTTAGTTGAGTTTTAACTTAATTTCGCACAAAACTAGCATCTAGTTCATAATTTAAAGTAGCATAAAAAATAATAACCATTAAATCTGAGCCAATAAAATTAAAACAAAAAATAATAATTTAATACAAAACTAGAAATTTCGTGAAGAATTCATTTTAATTGCCAATTAATAAATATGACTCCCGATTGTAGTCATCGATTAAAAATTCAATTGTTTTTTGGGGACATTATAAATGAATTAAATTTATAAGTTTGTAAATAAAATAAGTCTTAGATTTGTTGTTGTTTTTTCAAAAAAATTACAATATTTATAAGTCATTCATTCGTGTGGTTTTTTTTAATGGAGTAAACAAAAACTCATTGGCAAAAAATAAACCAAATTAATAAATTGTTAATAAATTTGTTTTTAATTATCTGTACAATAAATATTAAGATCGTTTACCGGTAAGTATATTAAAGGACCAAATATTTCATAAATTATTTAATAATTTGTATGTTTTGTCTGTCATTCATATACTGTATAATCAAATGGTAGTAAGTCTTTGAAGCGTCTCTCTCTCTCTCTCTCTCTCTCACTCACTCACTCTCTATGCGTTTACAACAAAAGACATGATTTTAAAAGTTATTTGAAAATTTGAAAAAATGATTTGTTTTGTCACTCGTGTCCTGAAGAAGTCAATTATAAATCTCATGATAAGAGTCCGGAGTAATTAGTAAACAGAAAAATCACAGTCGAATCGAGAAAAAAATTTATTTTATATATAATTAATTCAATCATTCAATTAATAATTACTAGAAAGAAGTCAAGTCTTGCATTCAGTATTTCATCGATGAATTTCTAATGGAAAAAAACAAATCTATTTCTTGTAGTCAATTGAATGCCTGGTGAGTGACACCATCAGCAGCTGATCCACCGATTCCAGTGGACAAGATTTTATATCCGATTCTGTACACTAAGCCCACGGCAATCGGTCGACTTATTATTATCGGTCGCAATACATATACACCGTATATATATCTATATATTATCATCACTTTTATTATACACATATGTATATATATATATAATTATAATCCGATAACCCGAATCAGCAATTATAATTCAATATCAATTAGTTTGCTAACAAATTATGCTCATGAACATTGGTATTTAATGAAAAATCATCGGAGTCACTTGAGTTTTGTATGAATGAATGAACAAAAAAGATTTTTTTCAAACAATTTTTGTTTTAAATGTGATTTATAATGAGTTTCACTATTGAATGGGCGCACCATTTGGTGGCCGCGCGCACCCGCAGGAGTCGCACATAATTTTGATTCACACGAAGAAGTCTTTGTGCCACCAATTGATCGGTTGTTTTCATGTCGTGATGTCGACGGCGACGAAGTGTTTGGAGTTTTATGAGTAAAAATTATTAATAATAAGCGATTTGTATCGACACCACAACACCTTGTCTTGTGATGTATGGTATGGAGAGGCTTATGGTGTGTCCGCTTCGGGTCTGAGACACACACACCACCAGATGATACAGAAGAAGTAATGATTAGTTTTTGTTTTTAATGCACGCAATCACTAGAAGTATTTGAGTTTTTTATTATTTCACAACAAAATAACTTAAGAAAACTAATTGTCATTTAGAGTGCGGTATTCACGCACACGGGGGGGACGACCGGACAGAGAGACACAAACATGCCCTCCCCGTCCGTCACGTGTTGGCCGTCGAGCTCGAGTCGGTGCTCGCCGTCTCGTTGTCGTTATCATTGTCCAGATCGTCGCCACCGGCGCCGCAGTCATTGGTATCCCTTTCGGATGGCGGCGCGGGTTTGTCGGCTGTGGCGGTCGAGCCGTTGTTCTCATCACCGGAACTGCTGCCGCTCTCCACGCTGTGGGCGTCGTTGCACTCGTTGTTTGCCTTATTGTCGCTTTTGTGGTCAGTCGTCGTCACTGAAGAGGAAGTCTCGTTGTTGTTGTTGTTGTGGTTGGTATTATTCACAGTCTCATCACTGGTCGGCTCACAATTGTATGACACGCGGGCTAAGGAGCACTCGTAGATCACATCGGCTATAATGCCGGCCACTCCCTGGTCTAATATCTGCGACATCACCAGCGCTAACAGTCTCTGCTGGAACTGGAGGAACAGTTGCCTGTTGTCCGGCACTCTCGACAGACACCGTAACGTCGATGCCGACCGGCGGACCATATCGAGTGTCGTTCCCATGAGCTCGGGATTCTCGCGCAACGCGTTGATACCCTGGGCGTTGGCCACCTGGAGGGCCGACTGTTCCGCCTGTTCCACGAACGATATCAGCAACGGTATGGCACAGCCGGTCAGTGCGATCGCACGGGCAGATGAGGAGTCGGCGGACGACAGGTTCGACAACAGGACGACCGAAAACTCTCGTATCGTCTGATCCTCGTGTCGGCTGAGACTTCGCGCCAGGTTTTGGTAGAGTTTGTCGATCCGACTCCACGGAGGTGTGGCCAGCATTAGGTCCACATTCGAGTCGAGTATCGACAGCTTCGAGAGCGACTCGAAGGCCAGCCGTTGCGGCGAGAGATAGTAGTTGGCGAACGGGAGGGTGTCCTGAGCGTAGGACGAGGGGCACACCGCCCAGTGAAGTAGGCCGTCCAGGAAAGGTAGGCTTATGTGCTCGGAATAGGGCGACAGATCCAACTGACCGCTGAGGTTGGCGATGGTCACCAGCGTGTTCTCGCGTATGGTGTGCAGCACATCCCACCACCACTCCTTCTCCACAATCTTCTCGTTCTTCTCGCGGTCTTCGCTGGCGAACAGCTCCTCTTCGATGGAGCGCTCGAAATGGCGTTTCTTCGACGTGTGCGAGTGGTGTAGGAGTAGGAGCCGCGACAGCACCAGTAGGAGTCCCGAGTGTTTCGACATGTTTTCGTCGTTTCCCGGCACGAACGACAAGTTCCTCAGGAGTGTCGACAAACACAGACACCTCCTGGTGAGCGAGTCCTGATAGTCGTAGCCGGTCTGCACGGCCGGCTCGTCCATGTCGTACGACTCGTCCTCGTACTCCTCTCTGTCCTTCCGTTTGTTAAATCTCTCCAAATCCGAGTCGCGAACTCTCGGGAACAGTAGACTGTCATCGGATTTCACGCTCTCTTTGTCCGAAGACGTATTGTTGACCACATGATTATCATTCAAGTCGAAGCTGCGCTCCACTTTGATCTCCACTTTCACTCGCGAGTCGTTTAATAAATTATTTTTCGCACCACTTGTGGCCACCGATAGATCGTCGCCCGACTTCTGACAATTCCGGTCTTCGGCCGTCATTTTCCAACTGAAACTCGAGTTCCGATTCCTTTTCCGACACTTTCTCATGACTCTCACGAATCGGCAAAAATTCTCGTCCGACTCGAAGTACGTCTGGATGTGGTCCGTCCGCTCGCCGTTACCCACACTCCAGTGCCCGACGCCACCGGTGAACCCATTGCGCATCTGATCCCACTTCTTGTCCGGATCGTCGATGAACAGAGACTTTCCGTTTTTAATCCTCACGGGCTTTCCATTGCGCGACTTAAACGTAAAGTTCGTGGTATTCAAGAGCACCAACTGGTCGTCGGGGGGAATGTCGCGCTGGACGGGCGGCGTCGTACACCTCTCCTCGTCCTCATCTCCCTTCCCCTCATCGTCGCTATCGCTTAAATCACGCGTCAATTCGTACCACAATTTACTACTCGTCCTATTCTTGGCGGCGGTCGCCGTCTCCTCGGCCTCGGCTTCCTTATCGCCGGTCGTGGTCGACTCGAACCCAATCTCCGTGTCGTCGAACAGGCCGTCGAATATCTCGCTTAAGTAGCGCTTGTAGTGCTCGAGCAGCACCTCCAACATGCCGGGCATGTGCTGGAGGCCGAAGTAGAGGATCGTGGAGTCGTCGTGGAGCAGAACACTGAGAATATCGAGAGCCCACGTGCTCTCGGCCAGGAGGCCCGACTTGAGACACATAATCAGCCGCCACGCCTCCACCGAACTCAAGTCCCTGGAGCACAGGCGCCGCCTCTTACTCATGGTGGGCGCGGTGGCCTCCACCGAGTCGGGCGGGAATATAATCTCTTTCTTGATTTGATGATACATGGGATGGTGGGGCGGCGGTTGTGGTGGGTGCGAGTATGGCGACTGTCCGACACCGCCCATCGACTGGTGCTGCGGTGGCATCATATGCGGCGGCACTTTGTTGGCGTTCGGCATGTTTGACATGAACTGACGGCTCGGATCGCCGCGCGGACCAAAGTTTGACATTTTATTGATCTGATGACCGCCGCCGTAGGGCGTGGGCCCGGCGTACAGTTCGTGAGGGGGCTGTGGCACCGACTGCTGCGACGGGTTAAACCGGTTGTGCGACCAATTGGGGCCGTTGTTGTCGACGCGCGACATGTGGTCCCAGCCGTCGCCGCCGCGCATCTGCGACATAGGCGGCGGCCCTCCGCTGAACGGCGGCGCGCCGGGCGTCGAGTTGGGAGGCATGTGCTGCTGGGGAACGGGCGGACCGTAAGCTCGATACTGGTTATCACGACTCCAGGGCAGCGGCTGACTCGAGGGCTGGTTTGGCGGTTGCTGTCGACTCGGCGGCGCCGCGTACGGCGGGAACTGACCCGTGGGTGGCATCGGCTGCTGAGGCGGTGGTTGACTGCCGTACGCGTTGTTCACGGGCTGGAAGTGTTGCTCTTGTTTCATGAAGTCCGGGTGCCGTTTCTGAGCGAACTGGTTGCCGGCGGCGCCGGGATGCCACGTTGTGCCCGTCTGGGTCTGCAATACGCCCGGCGGGGCCGTGGCGTTGGCACCGGTGCCGGGTATCGACTTGGGCGCCGACATGGGCCCCAGCGGTTGCCCTGACGTGGCGTTCGAGTACAGGGGCTGTGAGCTCGAGTAGTTCTGTCGGTGGGAAATGGATGTCATTAATAAAAATCGTTAACACAAAAACCATATATAAATCAATTGTTTTCCACAATAAGGCATAGAATAAGTAATCGAAAAATACAGATAAAGGGATCGGGATCACGTGCAGTAGTATATAGTTAGTCGATTAGAAAAGTGGTTAACAGTTATCGGTATTTCAAAAAAAACACATGAATTGATGACATACTTGAGACGATTGCGAGACTTTTGCAGCGAGTAGTCTCTGTGCGAGAGGACTTTGCATTCGTAACATTGCATTCTAGTGTAGTGTACAGTACAGTGTGTGCGGATATGTATGGGTGCGGGTATTATCGGTACATCAAATGCATTCATACATACCAAATGAAAAAGAAAACAAAAAATATAAATAAATAAATAAAAAGTAAATAAAAATAATACCATAAGTGAACTAATTATAATTAAAAATATAAAAGTCTACTAATTTTTTTGTCATGCATTTAAACTGATTGCTATGGGTATTGCTAGTGAGACCTAATGGTATATTCCACTGTATATGACACACACCCTTACCCTTACCATTGCATAACATACAGTGAGATCTGTATTGCATTATAATCAACATCTGTATCAACAAAAACACAACTAATGTATTGATGAGTTGATTCAAAATGCATTCAAAATACAAGCCTATTAATAGCTAGTGAGCTACAGATTACAAGCGAGTCAAATAGTAATTAAGTAATTAATATATTGAATACACAATCAATTTCTAACCAATTCTGGGGCCACAAAATGGCCAAAAATGTTATCACTATTTACTCCCAATTAATCCTAAACACCATAAAAACTCGGCACACAAAAAATCATCACATATTTAGACACAAATTATTAAACAAACAAAACAAAACTTTTTAATTGAATAGCAATTCACTCAACAAAAAACAAACTATAGTTTAAGTTCACAATTAACAGCAAATCCATAAAACACTTGGCATTCAATACATTCAATAGTGTAAGGAATCACTGGTTAGAGAGAGAACTTCCAACTGAAACCAAATTCAATACAATTTATTAGAGCGCGTGCTTCCATACGATAAAACATATGGTTTTCAACGATTGTTTCAATTAAAAAAAACTAAATTAATAGAGCGATACAGGAGTGCAGTAGACCTGGGGTTTAGTATGTTTGCAGGAGATTCACACATAGTATATTAGATCCTGAATAAAACACACTGTATTTGTGAGGCAATAAAACATAGCTAGTATTGAACACAAAAACATATATATATCTAGTGAATGATTACCTGATTTTCAATATCGCTTATTAGACACAAACTTATTCTCTATAATGAGTTGTAATCGCCTGTACAGTACAGTACAGTGTAGTATACATATGCAAACATTTTTACTACTGTATCGGTTTTCTCGTAACATTCATTACATATTTATTTACAAAATACAAAACTGTTTCATTAATAAAATAGTTTTACGTCTACAGTACAGCCAACACACACACAAAACGAGAGAAAAATGTTTCAATTGTGTCATCAATTAAACACAAACTTAATTAGAGATAACAGTAATAACGATAACGATATACAGCGACTGTCGCACAGATTTATCATAAATTGCAAACTAATAGTGCTTTTTATTTTCTACTCGCAAATCGAGAGTAAGAAAAAATATATTAATTTGTTTGTCATTTTAATAGAGAAATAAAAATCTTAAAACCTAAATAAAAATTCGCTCAATAAATCAAACATTAATTACATTCATATATAAATATAGATATGAATATAAACTTAATTTAACTATTAATGATTTTATATTTCAGAGATTGCGTAAGACTATAAGATATTGAGTTGCCTATTAAATTTAAAAAAATTCACTTCTCATACGCGTATAGATTTCCATTTCATTAGTCTTTATCTCAACAATTGATACATAAATACACAAATTTGGGAAGAAATGCAGTTTTTTATCGATTCCTACTATGTATTTCAAAACATTACTATTCAGTTAGTCATCTAAATATCTTAATTTGTGAATCAAGTTATGAAAAATGTATTAAAACTATTAGTCCAACAATTAGCCATTCATTGAATCAGTGGATATAATATGTTATACAACAGTACCCAAAAACACATTGATATACTGTAATTAGAAATTAATTAAACAAACGGTGCCGTAAAAAAAAGGCATCGAAATTATTTACTACTAAATGATTACTTAATTACGAGTGACTTATTAGTGAACTAATTGAGTGCCGGTTTGTGTGGATATGCGAGAAAATAGTGCAACGAATTGCTAATCAAGTGATACACGAGTGATGGATGAGATCATGGCCTCAGATGTGTGTCAACAGCCAGTGGTACAGATATAAGGCTCAAAAACAAAGGCAATAATCGTCTAAAGGTGTGGCAAATAGTGGGGACACATAGACATAGACATACAGCGGCGGTAACGTGGGATTAGACACCGGTAAACGAACCTGATAATCTTGATTGGACTTAAAACCGTCTGGAGTGGAGTTATAAGCACCCATTCCTCCGGCTCCCACTCCGCCGTACTGACCGATGGGCGACGACTCGCCGCCACTCCTCGTGTAGTTTGGTGTGGAAGATGGCGGCGTGTTTGAGGGATGAGGGGGCGCCGGTTGGTTGCCGGCCATTGGGTACTGGCCTCGAGGGCCGTGGGGCGGCGGCTGGTGCTGCGAAACCGGTGGCTGAGGCGGCTGTTGGCCGTACATTGACTCTTGAGACGGGGGCCGGCCGTGCGGTTCGAAGCGATTGTCTGAGCGGTGAGTGTCGTAACTCTGTTGTTGTTGTTGTTGTTGATTATAATACGGCGTCTGAGGCGGCGGGTGCGCCATACGAGAAGGCGGGTATCCCTGGGGTTGCTGCTGCTGCTGAGGCGGCGGCACAGAGTAGGGATCAGCCGCTTGTCCCCCGGGGCCGGCGCTTTGCCGACCGTAAGGCTCGTTATAGACGCCGCCGAAATGGTTTTGCGGCACCGGGTGCGAGGGTTGGGTAGTCGGTTGGGCCGCAACTGAATTATAATATGAGTTATGTCCTGAAATATTGGTATAATTATTATAATTACTATTGTATTCGTTTGATTGCGGCGCTGGTGTCGAACCGGATTGCGATTGCGGGCCCGACTGGGGGCCGGATTGCGAGGGCGGCCGTTGCGGGTGCGGAGCACCGGCGACGCCGCCGCCTCCGCCACGGGACGGATAGCCGCCCGACTGGTGCTGCAAGTCGTCGGCGAACGGATCCTTTACGCTAATACTCTCGTTATGGTTGGCCAACGCCTGCAGCGACGCCGGCGTCTGACCGCTCATGTTGTGTGACTGCGGGCCCGAAGGGTGTGGCGGATAACCACCGCCCGGCTGTTGATGTGGCGGATGCTGTTGTTGTTGTTGTGGCGGGTATTCAGAGTTAGACATTGAGTTTGGCGGCGGCGGATGGCCGGGTGGGTGCCCGGGATAACCCGACTGTTGATGCGCGGGATGGTGTGGCGGGTAATCCGAGTTTGACATTGAGTTTGGTGGGGGCGGTGGACCACCCGGATGTTGGGGATACGGTGATTGTTGATGCGGTGGCTGATGCTGGGGAGGGTAGCCGTCAGAGTTTGGCACCGGCTGTTGATGGCCGGGCGGCGGGTGCCCGGGATAGCCCTGTTGATGCGCGGGATGGTGTGGCGGGTAATCCGAGTTGGGCATCGAGTTCTGGGGCGGCGGTGGAAACGGCTGCTGCGGCGGGTAGGCTCCCGGCCCGGGCCCGTAGCCATCCATGTTGGGAGCACCGGGATGCGACTGGAATGGCTGCGGTTCGGGCGCCGGCGGTGGCGGCGGCACTGCGTTCTTCTTGTTCTTTCTGTTGGCGCTGTCGAGTGAGGCGAGAAGGGGCGCCGGATCGACGCCTCCCCTGTCGTACTTGCACTCAAAGGGCAACAAGTGTTTCATGTATTGCTTGCGGAGCGTGTAGGCGGCGCTCGACGAGGTGGCGATATTGCAGACGTGCGTGCAGTCCTTCCAGAGCTTACCCCGGGTCACCTCCAGGAAACCGCCCCTCTCCTTGACGGCCATATACAGCCGGAACAGGTCGAGCGGGAGTTTGCTGATTGTCGGGCACTGCGAGATCGGCGTTCCCCTCTCGTCCTGGTATTGGATGAGTTTGTCGAGAAAGGCCCGTCGCTCGGGCTCGTCGGACATGTCGTACAGCTTCATGAGGCCGTCCGGTCGCTGTAAATGCATAGAAACACAGATATAATGAGTCAATCAAATATAGTCTAAACAAATAGGTTTCCGAAAACATAATAATAATAATAGAAAGCAAAGCATGCAAGCGATGAGTGATAATGTGAGGGGAGTTAAGGTTAATATCAGTACAATGTTCACTAATTGTCTCAAATTCATAGCCTATTGACTATTGATACAGAAAATCAATTAATAGTTAATTAAAGGGAGAGAGAGAGAGTGGTCAGTATGGATGGGTAGGGGAGGGGAGGGAGAGGTGCAGTATATATATCGTAAACGTGATTAACCTTAACGTTGTGCCCACTGTGCGAGTCATAGCCTTGACTGTTGACGACCTATTGTAGCGATAAATGAAGCAAAAAAAGTGCATTAAATTTCAAAAGTATTTATTGCTTTCCAATCGCATCATCATATGATTGATAGCCAACCCTCTCATACACGGAGTCAACACTTACAGGACTAGCGGGAGTGCGCGGCCAACTCGGGCTCGACATCGACTCGAACTCGTCGTGAAAGGAGGACAGACTGGCCGCCCCGGGCGAGCCCAACGTGTTGGGTGTGGGCGGGTGCGAGAGACCGGGCGTATGTTTCGAGTTGTGTTTGGGCGTCGGGGTGTCGGAGCTGTCCTCCGCCTGCGACGACGTGGTGGAGGCCTGACTCGCCTCGTCCAATATGGCGGGCGGTTGGGGTCCTGACGCCCGCACATCGGCTATACTGTTGGACAGCGACGGTGTGGCCGACAGCGGCGATGTGATGCTCTGCGTGACGGACGTAGCGGCTGAGGGGCCGCCGTCGCCGGGCGGTACTGTCACGTGTTGTTGCGGACCACCGGCGCCCATGGGGTAGCCCGAGTTAGGCAGCCCCTCTCTACCCTCCGGTCCCATCGTGTCGTTGCCGGGCATGCCGTGACCCATAGGCGCGCCGGGCGGCCCGTGCATCATAGGTCCACCTCCCGGGCCCATAGGTGGCGCGCCGTGCGGTGCGAAGTGGTTGTTGGGCTGATACATGCGCTGCTGGAGGTGTTGCCTCAGATACACGGAGGCGTGCGGTGAGGGCGGTGGCGCTCGGGGCGCGAATACGGCCGACCTCTCGGCGGCGATCACAGCCGCCTGCGCGGCCGCCTGAGCCCCGTTGGGGGACGTCGACGGTATGGGCGCCCCTTTGGTCGGGTAGCACGTGGGCGGAGGCATCATATTATTGTTGAGACCGTAGGGCTGGTGATTGCCGTACGGCTGCTGCTGAGGCGGTGGTCCACCAGCACCACCGGGCGCTCCGTACGTGTTATTAGGCTGCTGTGGTGGCAGCGGCTGTGGCCCACCACCATAGCCGGGAGACATGCCCGGGTGCTGCTGATGATTCTGTACGCGCACCACCTGCGGGCCTAATGGGGGGCCGGGTGTCGTGGGTTTGCCCGTCGGTGTACTCCTTTCCGACGAGTTGGACGACTCGTCCATATTGAGGGTCGAGTTGTGTTGCTGTTGTTGTGATACGGATTCCTGTAGTGATTATAGTGAGCAAGGTATTCATTAGTACACCATAATTATTGTTTAGCTAGCTAAGTACAATTCATTTAAAATTCATATTTCATGTCTCCATTCAGTGTCTTATGTATTAGTCTTTGTATCGCTGTATGTGTGCCAATACATCCATATATGGATCCACTATCTTAGGGACACCATTGATGGCCATTATCTGTCGGCCCCCTCTCATTGTCAGCATAAATGAGTCAATTTTCAATCAAAAACCTACACTATAGCCCGCGTACAGTGACACATACCACTCCACCACTGGCATACCAGCCCTCTATGCATACACTGTTATATTGACTCCATTCATACTTAATGGCTAAATGTTGTCTCAACTGAATTCATCGTAATGTCAATACAGTACTGACTGCATGTGTGCCCATACACTCGTTGCATTCAATCCAATGTTCATTACAAATATAAAAAAGTTTTTGAATAACTTTTACGCAAAAATGTTTTATGTTATGCAGTCATACGGCTGTACACAACATAAAGCTATGCAACAAATCCTGTCATATAAACCAAAATATTTGTCTCATTGGATGGGTATTAGTGCCACTGTTTCTCACAACTCAAGAGTAGAGAGCTATGCTTAGAAAAAAATTACCACCAAAAGTGTGCATGATAATTTATGCCAACTCGTACACTATACAGCCGTGTAATGTACACTATAGCGAGACACTGTGTGTAACTCATCGATAAGTTGATTGGTGCAGCAAAATGGGAAAATGCATTACATTTTGCTATGTATTGCTTGTATGCTATGCATTGCGAGTGTGAGAGCTCTGTGGCAGCTCTGGGAAGCAATGCCCTCCTATTGCCGCGATGTTTGCCACACAGCTATGAGAGAGCCTATGAAACACACAGCGAGTACTGCTTATAGCACCGCATATCTCATCTCGAAGAGTACAGCAAAATCCCGAAAAACCAAATCCCGATATTCAAAATCCTTAAATACATAATCCCGAAAATTATAAAATCTATATAAATAATTATTTTTACTTTAGTTAATGTAAAATTCATTGATATTATTTAGTTTTATTTGACTAGTTACTGTATTATACAATGGTTATACACTAGTAAAATTCAGCAAATAATTACAATATAGAATAGTTGATGAGATATTTATTTACTAATATAATAACTAAATAATTTTAAATAATTATTCTAATATCAACGAATTTTACATTACCTAGAGTAAAACTAATTATTTTATATAGATATTATAATTTTCGGGATTATGTATTTCGAGATTTTGTGTATATCCTCCCTCTCACTCACTCTATGTATAAGTAGAGAGTGTTCGTACAGCCTGAGCATAGCTAACATAGCTATAGCACTGGTAGAGTGTGTGCTCCTAAAACATGGGCACAATTTATCAAACAGTTTGCCTTAATGTCAGTTATGGCTCGCATTCAATATCAGTGGCATAATATGTTTCATACTCTCCACGAAGGGTCGCATTCTAGGCGTCGCTCGCACTCAGCCTTTATTATTAGAGTCTACTCTCAAACACAGGACTCAATATACTAGGAGTTGGGGAAACAGTGAGTGAGTTTTGAAAACCTATCGCCTAAGCAGTCCTCAAATGCCAAACGCAATGCCAATGCATGAAACGTTATGAGACTCTAACAACACAACCATTACATGCATAGCAAGAGTAGAGATAGCATAGGATACTAGTCGCAGGGTGGTCAAAATACATCATATTTTCCCCGTAATGTATTATACAATGTATATAGTGTAGTATTCATGTATTTTTCTAAATAGGCATAAATAATAGTAAATACTTTATTAATATCATACTTATTAAATAGTTACTCTAATTTTATCACTAAATTGAATATAAAACTAATCAACAATAAACTTCTGAAATGTTTTGCAAGTTTAATTTTCAATCCAGCTCAGTTTTTGATATTTTTGTTGTAAAGATTGCAAAAATTCTTGTAATCCATTTTGAGAAAACTTTGGTAAAAACATAATTTTTGATTTACTTTTACTCATTTCTAATCAAAAAATAATTAAAATAATAATTTGGATTTTGAAACAATATTTACAAAACTTATGTTTGAATTATATTGAAAATAATCAGAAATTTGACATTTTTTCTCAATAGGGGCGGGATTTTATGTATGTATGGTAAATGTTCTCATGTATTCTACATGTATAATACATAGAATAATACACATGTATTATACATCCAATGTATGGCAACCCACCCTACTAGTCTATGCATAGCGCTTAGGATACCACTCATACACATAAAGCTATATAAAGCCGGTTCACTATATCCAGGGTTCACTATTCATCAAAAATCAAAAATCAAAAATAAACAAACTTTAACTATAATTTACTATCATATATGCGATCAATGAGAGTGGTAGTGGTGCTGGTGACTGACCATTGTCTCAAACACTGGTCCCTGACTACTATCACCACCAATTGATCCCTAACTCTGCCAATGCATGCATGCAATCCAAATGGCATATAAAAGCCTACAGTTATTACGTGTAGTATTGCTGACAAAATTTTAATTGCAACTAAAACTTTGCATAAAGTGTATGCGAAAAAATAATATGTTTTTCGAAACAGTAAATAATATTAGGGTTGAAAACAGTATAAATTATATCGGAAAAAAATAAATTGATATAAATTATATTTCAAAAAATAGCATCATCTAGCTACATATTTAAAATATACGCATATATAGCACAAATAGTTGAAAGATTAGCTGAAGTTAACATCTTAATGTTCTTATAATTTAGTTTTATAATTATAATTAATTAAATATAATCAAAAATTAAATAAATTATATGTATTCACTATATTTTAAATCTTGTATGTTTTCAATAGTAAAATATTTATTTCATAAATTATATGAAATTGTTTTATGAAATTTCATTTATATTGTTTCCAATATAAATTATTATAATTTAATTAACAACCCTAGTTGTGATTAAACAGACAATCAAAGTATACACCACTCGACGGGGATATACAGCAAAAACTATGAGAACTCGTTTACCATAGCATTGCATTGGAAGTGGTATTATAGCCACAGAGATACACAAAATAGGGTGACGTTTGGCTGAGAAGGCGTTCACCACATCATTATTATTAGCGAAATAATGTCAATTCGTTTGCAGTCTATCTCTCCAATAAAAATCTTATAAACAATTTTTTAAAAAACTTTTTAATCACACATTCATTACGATGTGAATGCATTTGGCAATCAGATCTCACACACAACGCACACATCGATACCACAGCTTACGAGTGGAGCATTGCTTTCATGAACCATTCCCTCCAATACCATACACACTATGTTTGTGCCGTTTTATTGCCATTCAGATCTCAACATGAACATTCATTCATACATCCAGTCATATGTCTATTAAAGACAATATATGTAATCACATTCAACGCATACACACTGATCACCGCACCGGACCTCTTATCTATCTATTATGCCCTTTCATACCACACATACACACACGAGTAGACATCACCACCATTTACTACATCTAGTATCTAGTCATGTGACGGATAGAAAAATATTTTAAGACAATGTCATCCGAGTGTTGGCCATTACCGAGACCCGGGTGGCCAGTGGCCCACTCCCTCCCCCTCCCCGGTGGCCAATCACTTGATTATCCGACTTATTTAGAGACAAAGGGTCGTCAATCACATGAAACGCATAGAAATGAGTGGAAAATAATAATAATAATTATTATAACATGGAGTGTATGTATGTCTGTATATATATGTATGCGTGAGCCATGACATGATCACCACTGGATCAGTATGTCTTATGGTGGACGGCATGGACGGAGTGGTCTGTGTATTGACAAAACAGTCGGATGAGAGGGAGAGAGCGCCTAATAATTGATATTTAATTTGAGTATTGGATGCATTGGATGTCATGACAATAGTGGTGAGTGTGTGGAGTCGCGCCTGCGTTCAGACAACACACACCACACAGACATCGATGGTGAGCGAGCGAGACAACTGTCCACCACTCGGACATGGCCCGCACAGACACCACACACACACACACTAGCGATGGCCGACTAGACAATGACACAGACATATGGGGGGAAGACATGAGAGACAGACACCACTCACTTGATTCCTATAGCTATGTATGGGTTGGTTGTGTTGTTGCGCGAGATTGTGGTCCTTATTAGGCGGCTGTTGTCCGGCGCCCGGGTAGTCGTAATGGTTGTGATACCTCTGTATAGTGTTGGGCGACTGGAGCAGCTGATTCAGAGTGGGCGTGGGCCCCGACACGGGCTGACCAGGGTACCGAACACCACTATTGTTGCCATTATTAGCACTGGCATTGTTTTGAGTCATCGGCGGTACACTGTTCGCGATGCTGTTGTAGGCGCTGTTAGGTGGGCGCTGCTGCTGCTGTTGCTGTGGCACAGGGGGGCCCATACCCGGGGGTTGATGGTAGCCCTGCTGTACGTTTCGGTTAAACATACCTCAGGTATAGGTGGCGGAGGATGTTGTCTATGAAACACTGGTGTATGTGAGCGATGCTTGTGGTGAACATAACACTCGCATACAGTCGCTGTGTGTATGGCATACACTGTATGCCTGTGTCGGTGAACAACACACTGTGGAAAGCACTGCTCACTCGCTGGTGCTGTCGACGCGATAATGCCTTCACTACTGGCAGTGCACTGGCGAGCGATGCAGTCCTATGAGTGCGAACTGTGAGCCGAGTCGAGAGAGTCGAGCCATTCAGTCATACAGCGAGCGCTCGATTACTTTTTTCCTGCCATCAAGCGATACACGAACACTCATAGCCGCCATTCAAATACAATGCACTTCTCGTTGCAAAACCTGTATTCACTGCAAAATAATGATTGGAGAGAGTGGCCCGACACTGGCGCCATCGAGTACGCCATAATGTACGCCATAATACTAGTGCCTGGCTTAGTTATTGACAGTACCCAGGCATATTATAATGTACCCAGGCATTTAATGTTCATTCATAGGGTTTCGTATGATTGCTGAGATAACACTGTTAATCGTGTTTTATAATCGCCAGATAATAGCTGTTTTTTTTATTTATGATACACCTAACCCTAGTTTTATATGTTATTTATACTTTATAATCACATTTTGATACATATTTATACTCAAGTCAAACAAAAAACTTGTGATAAACACACATAGGATTTGACAATTGAGTGCTCATACACTGTATGAATAATTTTTTTCAAAACATAAAAACTTAATCTCAATGTTTATTCAAAACTTTTAGTTTTATTTTTTCCAATGAAAATGATATCGTGTTATGTATTATAACAAAAAACGTTTGTTGCCATAAATTAAATGAAATAATAAATAAATTACAAATTAATGACTAATTAATTAAATATAAATAAATAAATGTTAAAAGTTATGGTTATATAAGATAATGGAGTTCTTGGCCACGAGTTTGCTGATGGGTTCTTGAGCTCTGGACTCATCCGAGCAGACAATCGCCAGAAACTGTTTGTCGAGTCCGCAGTCCTTCAGGTTCTCGATGGCGAACGCTTTGGACGTCGTGTTGTTGGCCTCCTTGGCCACCGTGACGGCGCTGAACGCCATCGTGGGCTCGTAGGTGGCGAACGACCCCTTGAACGAGCCGTGCGTCCGCTTCAGCAGCTCCACCAACCCGTTCAGACAGTTGGGAAGTATGGGTCCCATCACTTCCAGGCAATTGTACGACTCGGTGGCCGTCAGCTCCGACACCGTTTGCTTGACTTTCAGTGATTGCAGTGCCGAGCCGTGGAAGGCCGTGGGGGACAGCAGTGTCGGCGGTACACCACTTAGTGGGCCACTGTTTGCGATACATAGACGCGTGTTCAGCAAGAAGTTGAGGAATAGCTGCGTGTTTGACATGCCTTTGATCAGTACTAATGACTTCATTCTAGACACGGAATTCTGTGGACACCTACAGGTGATCATGAAATACAAGAATAAATTAGCAAAAAAAATACAGATTTTAACTCATTTCCTAAAATACCGATTCTTGCGCTTAGACTGCAGGGACGGGAAGTCCTGTTGACTTAAGCCGAGACTCTCTAACCAGGCGTTCGGCTCCTCATTATCCTCACCGCCATCGCAAACATCCGGAGTTTTAGGCGTTTTATCCACACTTTCCGATACGACTGACATCGAGTTAATGCTCACAAAACCGGACGTCATGTCGTCGGCCATAACGGGCGGCGTATTGTTGTCGCAGAAGGGCATCGAAAAGTTGATGCCGTCGTCGGTCAACAACTTCCTAAAGCCGGTGGTCGTGGGGGTCATGAGGGCGTGGATGTCGTCCGAGTCGGCTACACCCGACGCGCGGAACAGTACGGTGAACGAGTTGGCGCACACGTAGAAGTAGGGGCAGTGCTTGGCTTTGAGCAACTGGTACAACGACTTCACGCTTTTGCACCAATCGGTGTGCAGGGCGTCGGCGAGGGGCGTGTTGGGCGCTATCGAAAAGGTGGGCGCTTTCGACGGCACCGGCGCCCCGGGCTTCGGGTTCTCGTTGCGCGGGAATAGCGTCAGCCACGGGAGGCACGGGTGCTGCCAAACGAGGCACTGCTTGTGGAGTTGGGCCGCGAAACTCGTGTCCATCGAGTCTTGAGGTGAGGTCTGTTCCGCACAGCCGGCGCCTATTGGCTGATCCGTAGGGCCACCGGCGCCCACTTGACCGGACAGACAGCGCACGAAACCGCTGATACCCGCCGACTCTTCGGTGGCCCGAAAGCTGCCGCGAAAGCCAAACGCTTTGCTCGACACGAATCTGATCCGCGTCTTCAGCGTCCAGTCAATGAGATGCTGTTTTGTGTCCCTATTATGCGGGCCATTGGCGGCGCCGGTGGCCGACGTGTGGGCCGCCGTCGACTCGATGTTGGCGTTCTCATCGATGCTGAAGACGTTGAACGTGTCGGTGATGGTCTGGAAGTTGAGCTTTCGTTTGCCTTTCGGCGACGACTTCTTGATGGGAAAGGCGTTGCGGATCCGTTTGGGACTCCGCTTCTGGCGGAACGGCGAGAATGTCTTCGCCGGCGACGCCGTGGGGTTCGCGTAGTTCTCGAGACACTTGAGCGGAGAGTAGGCGCATGTCTTGGCCGGTGACACCTTCGATGGCGACTGAGAGGAATGAGACAATTGTTTCTGTTTGCGCTTTTTGAACACATCCGACGGCTTCATGAACTGCGGACTAATGGGTGATAACTTCCTCTTGGATTGGCTCTCCATTTGATGATAATAAATGTCTTAATCGATGAAATGGATGCCAATCTAAGGGCACAGATGTGTCGTACAAGAGTGCGGACCCAATGAAGTGATGATCAGATTGGGTGCATATGTATGGCATATGGTATGAAGGCTTGCGATCACTGTATTGAATGGCTTTTCGCACACAAAAGCGCCACTCCTTTGACTATTGGCGCCAATGGTGTCAACAAATCAAATGGTTGCTCGCCATCACTGGGAACCCCCATTCAGTTGCACACAAATACCGCATATATATTATATACTGTATTTCGCCACCACGTCCTCCCAAACAAACCATTGATTGTCATGTGATTAACGATTGCTTTGCTTTAAATGAGTAATTAATTGGCGATTAAATTAAGCGTTAGTTTTAAGCACACAATGAATGCGTGAAATATTGACAACACACACTCACTCCGTAACGTTGTTTATGGGCGCACGAGAAAGTGTAACGTTATTTGTGGACACGAGTAGTGTTTGGCGCAAATTGTTTGGCAAACAAACGGCAAACAAATTATTGGTTTTTGTGTTTAGGTTTTAATTGTGTTTTTTAATTGGATTTTAGTTTTTTTGAATTATCACTGAAACCGCGGAGGAATGTCTACGGAAGCGACGAATGAGACCAAATTGGCGCCGATCTTCGCCTTCGCGACAAACAAATGCAGTGATGGGAAGAGTGGGCGACAAATGGTGGAGAAGTTGAAGCGCAAGAAGAAGGGGTTGCCGAAGACCCTGAAGACACCGAAGAGGACGAAACACGCGAAGACTGCGGCCGCGAATGGACTCAAAGAGAATGAGATTAACGCGGAGACGGAGTGCAGAAGGAGTCAGCGGTTGAGACATAAGACCGAAGACGTCGATAAGAAGGTGCGCTATAATGAGGACACAAACGATGGCATCAATTGCGATGATAATGAGAGTGCCGCTGAAGGTGTGGGCAAAACTCACGAGTCGGTGGTCGCGGCGGTTGTCGAGGAGAACAGCAATACAATTGATTATTGGGTGGACACGAGTGGTGGGCAGCAGTCAACGGATGATGAGATTGAGATCATAGGCGAGGATAACGGGTCGTCGTCGCAGATCTGTTCGCACGAAGCGGTGGAGACAGTGGTGTCACTGGAAGAGCAGAGGGAGTACTTCCTGTGGACAGAGAAATACAAACCGATGACCAGTTCCGAAGTGATCGGACATAAGGTTGCGGTGAATCGGTTGAAGTCATGGCTGGAGGACTGGAACGACAGACAGCCCGACAAACAGCGCCGGCAGACGGCTGTCCACAGCGATGACGAGGACTCGGAGGCGTTGGACAGTCTGGACGACACGAACGCGTGTCTTATGATATGCGGGCCGACCGGCGCCGGCAAGACGTCGCTGATCTACGCGGTGGCCGAAGAGCTGAGGTATGAAGTGCTGGAACTGAACGCCTCGATGAAGAGGAACGGGAGGATAGTGTCGAAGATTTTAGGCGAAGCCACGCAATCGCATCACATGCAGAAGAATAAGGAGTCATCGGCTCAGACGTCGACCAATACTATCCACTCGTACTTCACGTCTGTGGCCAACAATAGCGCGAAACCACTGATGAATCAAATGAAGAGCAAAAAGTCGAAACCCAAAGGAATCTTAAATTATTTCGCGAAACAGACGAATAGTGTGCCGAAGAGTGCGACGAATGGCAGTGAACTACAGATAATTGAGCCGAAAGTGGATAAGAATGAGAGCCAGAAGTCGGAGGCGAGCGAATCGGTGGCCGCCAACGACTGTCCGACGATATTCTCGCCGAAAGTCCTGTCGATCGCCACGAATTCGTTGATTCTGTTCGACGACATCGATGTGATGGTCGACGAGGACTTGAATGGCTTCTGGAGTGCATTCAATCGGATTAAAGCGATGACCAGAAAGCCGGTGATCCTAACGGCCACTCAGTTCGTGCCCTACATTCAGGACTGCGTGAATGGGTTACAGATATTAGCGCTCAATAAACCGGACGCAACGGAAACGGTGGACGCGTTGCGGAGTATATGCGACAAAGAGTTTAGTGATAATCGACAGGAATTGAGTGAAAACTATTGCAAACATTTGTCCCATACTTACGGCAATGATATCAGACGTTGTATTAATGAGTTGCAGTTTCGCGGCAGTGATTACCAGGGATTTCATGAATCGGATGACTCGTGCGACGATTTAGTGGTCAAATCAGACATTAATTCATACTATAGTTCATTGCTATTATCAGATTTGTTGGAAACAAACTTTAAGATTCTTAGCGCTTCTCAAAGTCGAGACCATTGGATGAAATGTAAGCCCACTTTCATCGAGGATAACATGCAAAGCGCGGCATTGGCTAAAGTGGTGATCAACACACTGAACGAATTGAATGATAAGATTTACAGTAATTATAAAACACCTGAGATTCAAGAGTTGGATCAGTTGTCGGATTACGAGTCCGTGAGGAGTATATCTCGATATCTGGCGCCGAATGTAAGCAAACGAAACGTTTTGTTAGATTATTGTCCATACATTGCGTTCATATGCGAGTCGGAGACCATACGGCGCTCAGTGACGGCCAATCACTCGCGAAAGTCGCGCCGATTTATGCATCACTTGGACTCATGCGGTCTCTATATCGACGACACCATTAAATCGCAATTAATGTCCGTTTTCTCGTCGCAAACAAAGTTTGTGTCGACACGAGTGTCGGGTGAACCCGAGGATACCGTTCCCGTCATTGATATAGATTTTTACGATTGAATAAATGCTTTTTTAAAATTTTTTAATACTCGCTTTTAATTGTATAATACATTTATTTTGATACGATTTTAATTTATTAAACATTTTTTAATCATACAATTAGTGCCAAATCAATGTGTAATGGGATTGCGATTAATTAATTTATGAAATAATAATTATATTATGAATAGTATTGCTATTGTTTATTATTATTATTACCCTGTTTATTCAACGCACCGAACCAGCCACCGCCACCATAACCTCCATAGCCGCCACCGTAGACACCGTACGGATTATAGCCACCACCATAACCTCCCCACCCGCCGCCGCCCCACGGCCTGCCATAACCAAAGCCACCGCCATACCCGCCGCCCCACCAGCGCCTCCTAAAACCCGGGTAACCCCAGTACTGTCCACTTTGTTGGCTGTTTGGGTCCAAGGGTTGAGGTTGCGGTCGGTTTTGTCCAATAATTTCGGTCTCCCTATCGTTGCCTATCTCTTGACAGCCGCACCATTCAAGCGATACAAATAGCAGTGATATTAAGATGAATGTCAAAGTTTTTGCCATTTTTATGAACTTTTACACAAAACTGGTCACAAGTTTTAAAATTTTTTATAACTTTTTAGAGACTTTAGGAATAAGTGAGTCTCGAGAAACTTTATACCGGTATTTATACCCAAAAAATGATTTGATATTACCATTGATTACATGATAATATAGTGAATAAGTTATGTGAACAGACAGTATGTAAATATTATTTGTTTTGTTTGGTCTGAAGTTCAAGAATAAAGTTTAGAGAACTTTCCGTTTCATTGTATAATGGATTGAATAAACTTTAAATTATTTTTTTATTTTCCTAGTTTATTGTAATTTTAAACTATGGCTAAGTTTACATAATTTATAACTTATTTAAAATCTTATGAATTGATTTATTAAAATAGTAATTTTAATGAAATAAATTTACATAATATTTTTAATTAGAATTTTTAATTATTTAAGTTATATACTAGTTTATAATTTAAACTTTAAAACTTATAAAGGTTACAACTTAAGTTCAGTGTTTCATTTATTATAGTTATTATTGTATTTGTTTAGCTGTTTTCCGACAAAAAAATCCATTTTTAGAAACTTTTTATTTAAATAAATACAAATAAATACTATTAGATGCTATAAAAAAAACCTTTGTTTTGTATATATTTTTTACTAGAAGTTGTAAAAATCAGTAACCTTTTGAAGTTCAATAAAATTGTACAAGTTTCATTTACAAGTTCAATAAAAATCAAAAGTAATTAAAACATCGCTAACAAAATGTCATTTTATTAAAATTGATTATAAATTGATACTTCACTCAATAATTATTTGTAATTAGATTAGTGCTAAACTTGACAACAAAATGCAAACTATATAATACAATGGTTTGTATTCTGAGAGCTCCGCGAACCGAAAGTCACGCTTTTCTGCCGACAGATCCGTCCGTCGTTTCTCTTACCCGCGCTCTGTCTGCTGGCCGTCGTGTTCGGTGAGTGCACTACGGAGTCGGAGTACAAGAACAGTCCGTGCCGTACGGAGTCGGAGTACACTCCCGGCGCGTGTCTCGCGCCGAACGACTGCCTCGCCCGTTCCGGCACTCCCGACGGCACGTGCGCCTCCGAGTTCGTCTGTTGCAACTTCAAGTTCACGTGCGGCGGACGAACCATAGAGAATGAGACCATCTTCGTGAACAAGCTGTTCCCGCGCACCGACAGCGGCACCAACACGTGTCAGGTGACGATCGACAAACAGCCCAACGTCTGTCAACTCAGACTCGGTTCGTATTCGCGTTTCTCTCCCGAAAACACTCTCTTATGTCTTCGGCCGCAGACTTCGAGGAGTTCTCGTTGGCTCAGCCGGACGAGAACGGCCAGTGCGCGACCGACTCCTTTATGGTGCGCACGACAGTCGGCGAACGCCTTCCCATTCTGTGCGGCGAGAACAACAACCAACACCGTAAGCCCTCTCTCTCTCTCTCCCCTCCCTCTCCACCGCTAACCACCTGTTGTGCCCACAGTTTACGTGGATATGGGTCGCGGATCGGCCAATCCGGTGGCGCTGTCGGTGGTGACGAACGGCGATAACATCGACCGCAAGTGGAAGATCAGGATCAATATGATTCCGTGCAATAACCTCGATATGAAGCAAGATAATATGAATAATCCATTTGTCAAATCTTCATTAAATACGTGTTGCAAACGCATCTTGCGACTACCCAAAT